GAAAGGGCAAGATCCCGGATACAGGTGGCCGAAATGAGCTTTCTCCGCAGGGCGGCCGGGCGCACCCTTAGAGATAGGGTGAGGAGCTCGGTCACCCGGGAGGAGCTCAGAGTAGAACCGCTGCTCCTCCACATCGAGAGGAGCCAGCTGAGGTGGCTCGGGCATCTGTTTCGGATGCCTCCTGGGCGCCTTCCTAGGGAGGTGTTCCGGGCATGTCCCACCGGGAGGAGGCCCCGGGGAAGACCCAGGACACGCTATGACATAAAATATGTCAGTAAATACCCCACTTGTGAATTTTTTAACGCTTTTACATGTCTTAAAAAGGCAGTTGATAACAAGTGGCTAAATGAAACTGCAGAGGCTGTCTGGGATATTAACCTTCATCACACTGAACATGGAGACTCACTTCCTTCCTCACTAGCCTGCCTTTACCTTCTCATTATGTTTAAACTTGTGCACTTGCTAACTGTTCTAATTAACTGACACAGCCATGGTCACTAGCTAGATCAGGTCACACTAAGGGGAAGGGAATTAGTAGAAGAGGTAAATGCACTAAATCAAATTACAAATTGGAAGCTCTAGTGGTGATGCTGAAGTCATGGGACTGTGGCGTAGTTTGTTTATACCCTAATGATTGCTTTTTACTTCGGGGGATCATATTTGAGCTTCAAAAATCATAAAAGTGATGTTGACTTGTAAAGATGATCTTGCTGAACAAAATATTCAACTGTCATAAACTATTGTTTGTCACAGATCTTATTTTCTGCAAAAATCCAAAAGCCTATGGAAAAACCCCACTGGCGTTTTGTTGAGGGAACCAGGGTGATGCTACCTGGAACAGAGTGCAATATCTATTTGTCTTTATATAACACAAGCCAAGTGCTCTGTCACCTGATTTCAATATATTAATAATAATAATATTCAATATATAAATATTTCTACATATTTAGGTCACAAAAGTGCCTGCACTAACACACATAAATAATGGCTGTTGTACAGCACAAACCGACTCCAATCCTGTCAGTGACAATTCCATAAAAATTTCAAACTGTTCATATGAGGTGAATAATGCACTACGATAACAAGAGCTGAGAGCCTGGCAACAGGGAGCAAGACACAACATCAGCATCATTGTGGATGTAGGTCATGGCAACAGGGAGCAACACACAACATCGGCATCATTTTGGATGTAGGTCACGACGCCAGAAGTGGAGAGAGAACATACTCAATAACTGTAACTGTGTATCGCCACTTCATGTCATTTCCACTGGTATTTTTCACTGTGTGTGAAAGCA